AAATGCTTGAATTCAATGCACACCCAAAGGCACTAGGCTGGTTTAACAATTAAGGACTAAACCATGTATTTTTCTGTTTGAAGAAAGGAGTGAAAGAATTGGTTTACATCGTTCACCGGGGCGGCTGTGGAGGTAGAGTAGGTTGACTCCTAACAGGAGGGTTGGCAGTTTGATTCCTCGCTTCTCTGGTCCACATGTTGGTGTCCTTAAGCAAGATATTGAATCCCAAGTCGCTCCTGGTGGCTGTTGACCACCAGTGTGTGCTTGTGAGCTTTAATAGGTGAATGGGCAAGGTGCTTCGATGCATAGAAATGTGCTAATTTCTAATATGCTCAACACTGGATGGAGGAGGGAGGAGAGAAACTAAAAACAGCAAAATGTTAATCAGGTTTTTACTGATGTAGGTGGTGCTATTGTCGTTTCTCAGGCTTTCACATCTGTGCCTTCTAATTCCACTCCAATGTTTGGATGTTTTCCTCCAACATGTCCTTTGCCCCACATAAGGGTGTGGTTTGTAATATGGCAAAGCTTTGATTATAGAGGTAATCGGTGACTGCTGTTGGATTATGCCTTGTTTTTGCAAATAAATGTTAATAGTAAATTAAAAAGCAAAACAAATATATTATTACTTGGATAATTCAGAGCTTAAAACCATTTTTTTTGTTTTTGGGTGCAGGTGGGATACGAGAACGCAGGGACCGTGGAGTTCCTGGTAGACAAACATGGCAAACACTACTTCATCGAGGTCAACTCCCGACTCCAGGTTGAACACACGGTCACTGAAGAAATCACTGAGTAAGTAGCAGATGTTTGTGTGTGTGTAGATGGATTTAGGCTGGTGGGCAGCTGGATAGCTGCTGTGGTTGTGTGTTTTTGTATGATCTGTCCACAGACAGGTTAGATGCTTTCCCCTCTGCTGAAGTACAGATTAAAGTGTATGGTATGAGGAGGTGTAGGCACAGTTGAGAAAAGAGTGTTAAGTATATGAGAGAAGCAAAAATGGACAAAAGAAATGAAGAGAAATGAAGGGGGAGAGAAGGAGTTGACGAAGCAGGCAAGTACAAAGAGGTTGGTTGGGAAAGAGAAGGGAACAGAAATGAGAGAGAACAGGTGGAATCAGTGAAGTGAAAAGCTTAAAGGTGAAGTCAGAAGGCAAGAGATGATGGAAATAAAGGAGAGAGGTGAGAAACAGAGCAGATAAAGAAAGATATAAATAGCATTCTGCTCCACTGACGACCTGTGAGATTTTCTCAGCTGAAACTACACAGATAGGTCTTAAACTAACACGCAAGACAAACACAATAAAACACACGGGTGTGTAGGCCTTTCAATCACACCCAGACCCATAAATCTTTGTTCTTCGCTGATATGTTTACACAGAAAGCTACAATTACACATTCTTATTGGATTTCCTGCATAATTAGTTCAATTAATGAACAGTCAGTGCAACTAATACATAATACAATACAACAATGAGGTGTGAACAGGGGGCCGATTTGCATGCAAACAATGTTTTATTTTCTTCTTAGGGCTACTAAACATGACTGACAACTGTATTTTCTTGCTGTCTTGATCATTTGCGCTCTTGTTTATTTCCTGTTTTTTTTTTTTAGACGTCTTTTTTTTTTTTTTAAACTGCATGCAAAAAAGCTCCTAGATCAACTCGCTATATTTGCATTACTCCACAATGAACTAAACCAGCTCTGGGTGAGTGAAGAAGCTTGCACTGGCTTGATTCACAGAACTTGAGTTTAAAAAGGTGCATTGTGTGTTGACTCGCACGCTACGTGCTCCGTCACAGCGGCACCTCAGTGTGCCCAGAGCTGAGCTCGGCTGAGGAAACATTTTATTAACCAAATTTCTGGTGAGCCAGAGCTCCTTCATACTTGGAGCTCCCACGTAGGTCACTTACTTTGGCTAATTAGACATCTTCCCAAAACTGTGTGGGCATGTACAGACCGTCTCTTCCTCAGCACTTCCCTGCCTTTGCTGTGCATTGCCGGTTTCTCAGCGTGTTGCTGTTAAGTGTGAAACCATTTGCAAGTGTGTCCATTTTTTTGTTTAATGGGGTCTTTTTAAACCAAACTGCAACTCATTATAGCCAAGGCGCATGTATGCATTTGAGATATCCACAGATGACACATTAACCATATAGCTTTAATTCACACAGCACTTTTTCTTTTTTCCAATCTTGACTCATGTGTTGAATGTTTTCTATAATATTTTGGTAGTTTTTATTTGAAAGATTAAAATGAGCAGAGCTATGGTTCAGTTTTTAGGAAGCAATAATGTCAGAAGGTTTAAGGTGGAATATTTTAATACAGATGTAATGATACCAAAAACTTTCAATGATTAAAGTTTTTTTTGTATAATGTGTATATAGAAGATAATACAGCAGTCAGTAACAGTCCTTTTATATTATTGCAGTAGCTGAATCTAAACAAGCTACACTCGGTGGAACATCAGTGTTTTAACGTGCTTTTCTTTCATGATGAAATGGCTCGTGCGCCGACTTGCACACATGCATTGACAGACACTCGGGTTCTCGTTTACCCTGTACTGCTGTTCTATTAGCAAGACAATTTGAGAGGAAGTCATTCTCTTGTTTCACAGATCCCCTCCAGTCCTGCACCAGTTTGTCATTTCCTCTTTGTTGTGTAGAGGAACCATCATCACTGTGGAAATTTAATGTTTGGGGAAACTGGGGTCATTAAAATTTGGCAGGAGTATAGTAATTATTTGAATGTGAGCGATGTCCTGCACGAAACGGCACATGTCGGATGTTTCAGCTGTCGCAAGCGACACTGCGTTTGCTCAGCTTTCATTTCAAGCTGAAGTGGAGCGCTAAGAAGTCAGAGCCGACTGCAGCAAAAAGAATCAGTCTTTCCAACAGCGCATTCATCTGAACTCTAGAGGAATTATTCCTTTTACAGGTGGATAAGTATTACATTTGAGTGTAAATAACCAAATTAAAACGGTATTGTGGTTTTATTTGAACATTTTGTATGTTTGAACCGTGATACTAATAGACTTGTCAGTGAGGACTTTTTTTATGCTGACTTGTGCAACTCCCCTTTAAATCCGCTGTTCATTCCAAGTGTCCAACCTGCAGCACACCGTCTTTCATCACTGTCATCTTTCTTGCCTTATTACTTTACCATCAGCTCTTCATCCCCTATTCAGTTTGCTAACTATCAGCCTGGCTGCATTTAGGCCTCGGCTTCTTTGGCTTTTATCTTCGTTCTGTCTTTTTCCTCCTCCTTCATGTGGCACATACACCCAAATTCAGAAAGGTTTTCTGCATGCGGCTCCAGGAAGCCCACCATTAGTGTATGTTTGAGTCATAATAGTCCTGTCAGCCTTGTTGATTCCTCTCCTCTGATCATTCTTGTAGCCCAGCTTCCTTTTGAGATGTCATTTTGTTTGACTTTTTCTTGCTGTGAATGGGTAGTACATTGTTTTTATATAGCCCTGTTGTTCATTCCCTCTTACTTTTTGCAACTCTGATGGTAAACATACCTGATGAGCAACAGCATATTAACTTTGTTGTTGTGAATGTGTTAGCACAGCAAATGCTATGCTATTATCTAGCTCCACCTCTTCGCACCGCCTGAGGCTAAAAGCTACAGATGAGCCGATGTAAAACAAATGAAACCATACAGTGACACAGCTTACTTTTACCTGGGACACACGGCTGCTGTTCGCGAGTTCCTCCTACCTAACAATCATGTTAACAACTGATCACAGTGCAGACAGAAAGCCAGTGATTAATAATCCCAGTTGTGAATGCCAAATGCTGTATCAGATGCCATTATCCATACAAGATACTGATTGCATGTTCATACCAGCTGTAAATGGGCTCCTAGTGTTGTTTCCCCCTCAGTTTGATGCCCTGTGGAACAGATTCCCTCATGTTGATTTTGGTGTGTGTGTGTGTGTGTGTGTCTCTGCTCCAGATGCAGTTTGGACTGTGACTAACAGGATGTTATCTGTTGTCAGGGTAAATGTAACACCACACACTCAGGGGTCTCTTGCTCTCCGATTCATCTCCTCTTCCTTCCCACCCATCCATCTCAGTCTTTTCTCCTCTTTCAGGCTCTCTCCATCTGTCCTCAGTGGACTCTGCAGCCGCCTCCCCACCCCTGTCCATTCTCCATCCCCTCTTCTCTCTCTTCCTCATGCCAATGCCTCCTGTTCAGTCCTCTTCGTTCCCTCTGCCACCCTTTCAGCCCTATCAGTTTCTGCCTCTGCTGCTCACTCTGTCACTTCCATCACTCCTCTCTCCTCCTTTTGGTTCTTGTTCTTCTCCAGTCTCATTCTTTTTTTCTTTCATCTTGATCATTCTCTACTCTCACTGTCATCTCTTAACGTTCCCTTTCTCTTACATCTGTCCATTCATTCATCTATCCCTCCCTTTATTTGTGCTTTACTTCACCTCTCCCTCATCCACTCAACTCATGCCTCCATCTTTTCTTTGTCCCTTCTCTGGTCCTCACTGTCTCAATCTGCCCTCTCTTACCCTGCTGTCTTTTCACTCCTTTCATATATTAGTACAGACAAAATAAAAATGACCTCAAAGGAGGACTCAAGAAAAAAGTAATTAAGTCATGTTTCCAAAGGCAGGCATATGGCAAGTCTTTCAGTTAAGAGATTTTAATTTTTGAGAATGAATGAAGTTTAACCTTCACACTTATTAGACAGCCTTAAAACAAAATTAATAGTTAAGTTGAACAGCAAATACAGCTGAGTTTATTAAGAGGACTGCCTCAGATTAAAGAAGCAAATTCAGTATTCAAGTTGGATAAACAACTGTGCATCTAATTTAAGGACACCAGGTCTCTGGAAAATGCCTGTTAGCGTAGAGCCTTGCCTTCATTTTAATAACTTCTGTGGAAAAACTTGCCTTGTCTTCATACACAGTAAGGAGCCAGAGTTCTACATAGCTTATGACTTAATTTCTCTGATTTTGGGCAGGAAAAATATTGTCATCTTTTTGGACCCTCACCAGTTTCGCCTCTGCATCTTATTATGTGTATTTTTCTCTTTCTCTCTACATATGTCCTCCTACCTGTCCTCCTCTACCTCTCCCCTGCTCCTCACACGCCCCCTTTGGTGTATTTCCTGCCCTGGTGCTCTTCATCCTCCACTTTCTCTCCATATTGCTTTGATTATGCCATATTTCTCGCTTTGCTCCAGTGTTGGTAGTTTGACAAGGTGCTATGGCTTTGGCTAAGGAGATATCGTCTCACTTTCCACTGCTTCTTTTACCTCGGTGTCAGCAACGGTTGCATAAACAAGCGCCAGTGAGGAGGCAGAATACTGCAATCTATAATCAGAACATGTGCCCCCCCACACACATACACACACTCGTTTGCAGATGCATACAAAAATATGCCCCCACATTCAAAAATGTTGATCGAATAAGATGCATAGACACTTTCACAAAGGAAAAACCACTGCACAGGCACATTATGCGAATAGCTATTCATCTGTCTTCCTGCTTTAGCGAATCCCTGGACAATAGATGCAATTCTTTCTGATGCCTGTGTATGTGAGAGACAAAATGTGAGATACATGAAAGATATATTTTGTCTGGGATGCATTCCCTGTGCGCGTGGGGGGAGGCGCTTGCGTATGAGATGTTTGCCTGTCTGAAAGGCATCAGCATGAGACGGAGAGTCCGCCTCTGCATTAAAGCTCAGCTCTGTCTTTGAACAACTCCTCTCTGAAGGTTCAATTTGTCCATAATTTAGCTGTAAACGATCTTTCCTTTGTGCCTCAAGTGTGTGTGTTTG